AGAAAACGCCGAAAATACATAAACCTGAAGTGAATTCTGTCTAGTCAGTCCAGATCAGTTGGTCGATAATAATGATACCATGCAGTTGAATCAAACTATATTTACCGATATGCCCTGCTATGCATTAATCAAGTCAGCCATTTGTAGTATTGTGCAGTACAAAGAAGTGAATGGAGTGACTGCTGTATCTCATGCACATTTATTATTTTGAAAAACTTGCACGATTGATGTTCTTTCTTTAACTGGAACGTGTTGATCGACCACTATGTGTTTATGGGATTCTGTGAACATAGCTCACGATTGTCGATAACTTAATTTTCATACTAACGTTGAATTGAGACTAGCGGTGGAATCCAGGAAGCGTGTCCCTTCTTTTTTTTGGAACTCTAGTCGCATTCGCTTGCATCCCGAGGAGTGATCTCCACGTTGAGACTCAAGCCAAATACCTACTTTGAACGCCAGGACGTTATCCACTAGAATACTGAGTAATGATAGCCACTCTTTATGCAACAAGTAAGGTTTGATATTGCATCTTACGAGGTAGCGATACAAAGTCCGAAGCGGAAGCTGATGACTCAACGGAAGCAGCACCACTCAAGGAGACAGACACATCTAGCTGATGAGTCCCAAACAGGACGAAATGACCGTCGTGAACTCTAACGCCAGCTATTACTTATCACCAGTACCGAGTATAACTGTTCACTTTGTCTTCTGTCGAATGTGTTCTGGGGCTACGTTTGGAAAAGTTCCACTTTCTTCGCAGATAAAAAATGGTCATCGGTGTGCTTTACTGACATGCCTGTGTCTATTTAACCCATTAATTAACAGGTTAATATAGAGTAATGAATTTCATATTTTCTGGTCCTAAGTGGGGATTAGTTTCTATTGCTCATTTGCAGTGTAGCCATCAATCTACGAAACTCGCCATCATAGAACAATTTAAGTCATAGGAGTTCGAAATACGTAGTCGACAGGAAGCCTTTCCGACGAGTCCCATAGCTTCCGAACTCAATACAAATCCAAACACACTAATTATACGACCTACTTACAATCTTAATAGGTTGTCCTAACTTTAAACTGTCAGCAGCTGCCAAAAAACCAACAAATGCAGGCATCTTACTTTCTTTTTCAAATACCGTTGTTTTTCGTGTTCACGTATATTAAGACGATAAGAAGGATTACCTGATAGATTTGCAAACGGTCCAAGTAAATCCAAAATATAGGATGTATAAAATTAATTATGCAGTCATGAGAACGTTTGTTTTGTTCCTCAGTATTAGGTGGCAATCACACCTCTCAATAATAGCTAACCCATACACCAGATACCACTTACTCCAAAATCTCAAGAGAAGAAATAAAGAGGAAGAAAACTGGTCCGGATGAGAGTTTATTGCCTCCGAAAGGACTGTAAATCACCCGGAACATATGCACATATATACACGATATGTGATCTTGTCCAGAATTTGGAACATTAACACATTAAAAGCAAGTACCAACCAATCAACGAATTACCTTGGAAAAAGAGTCGAGCATAAACAAGTGGCCATGGCGTAAAAAGGCGCGAAAAAGGTTAGTTAACAATGCGCAAGAAAATAAATAAAGTTCTGTGCAAAGTTGTGACCTCACCATAAGGTCTATGTAACAGGCTTAGCTACAATTACTATAAGAGAATTGACGGTAATGTTGAAATTTCGACTGTTTACATGAAACAGGATTATTAGTAATAAACTATATTTTTAAGACTTAGTTATCTACACCAGCGAGCTCAACAAATCAATTAAAAACCATTGATATAAGACTAAAACCTGGGCACTGTAGTAGGATGTGATCTCATTTTAGTTGAATTATTCGATGCATCATACAGTGAAACAGTATCATTGCCCACTGGATAACGTTCCGGACACAATTTATTATCCACATTCATATCAGGTACAGCCTTGAGACACGGTTTATATAGTTCTAATTTTCTACCCCCCCCCCCCTCGTGATCTGAGTGATAGAACTCTCCACATATCCAGGACAGGTTTTCAGTCATTCTTGTAGCAGGTATTCGGTGTTGATTCGACAAACAAAGATTAGATTATCAATAATCGACACATCTAATAAATCAGATAAAGCGTAATTACAAGTCAAAAAAGAATATTTGAGCAATATTTACTAACGAAGGATTTATTATGCTTCCCGACTATCCATACCTCGGTATCTTAAAAGGGATTCTAGCCAACAACTCGTTGATTGGAAGATTATGGTTTCGGGTTGTATTCATTCACTCCCCATAAACTAACTTTTTGACTAATAGGATTTACCAAGCGATCGGGAAATACTGCTCGAAATTCCTCGATTTCAAAAATGGTGATGCAATAATAGGTGCATAGACTGTGGATTCACCATGATACTGATAGCGCTTCGTTTTAAAACAACCAATATGGAAGAAAAAAAATCCTCAATCAAAATGTTAAGAATAAATATGATTACTCCTATGAACTAAGCACGTCATAGGACTTCACAATCTCAGACGTGAAAATAGAAGGCATCAGATTGTGAAATATAATTAACATTATTATTATTATTTGTCTGTTGGGTTCCTAATGGAACATAGGGCTTCAGTAGCACGTCTCTATCCCACTCTGTTCTCTACAATATTTTGAATCTGGCCTCACGACAGCCCACAAGCTCCCATTTCCTCCTCGCACAATCTCCTTCATGTCACCCTCACCTCGGACGCCCAACTCGTCGCTTCCCATCTGGCTTCCACTCCAGGGCATGCTCTGGTGCGTGGTGTACCTAGTCGGCCTTCTCAGTGTATGTCCGATACATCTCCACCTCCTCCCAATGCATATTTGTTCAGCGATAGGCTTTTTGGCTGGTTCGTTGCCTGCCAGCCAGCCAGCCAGCCAGAGTTCCTTGTTGATTATTACTTCTGGTCATCTGATCCTCAGTAACGACCCAGCGTAGGCAGTTGTTGATGAATGGTTGTAGTTTGTTGGAAATGCTTTTCGTAACACTTCAACACTCTGAACCATACAGGAGCACTGACTTGACCTTGGTGTTGGAAATCCGAATCTTGTTCCACATGCTGAGTGCAGAAGATCTCCACACTGGTTTCAGGCTAGTGAACGCCTGTCTTGCTTTTCCGGTCCTGGCTGGCTTTGACATCCTCGTCTGTGCCACCACCGCCTATACCTGAAACAGGGCTGCCTAGATAAGTGTATGTGAAAGAGGCTAATTCCTTTAAGTTTCTCCCGTTGATTGTGATCGGAGCTTGTTGTTTCTGTTGGTGTTGGTTATCTTCATCACCTCTGTCTTCTCTATATTCACTTGAAGACCCGTCTTCCCTGTCCTGACTCTTCTGTCAACTTTCGCTTTCATCGAGAGAAGACACATTGGATAATTGTCTCCCTAAAGGCTTTCACCAAACAGCGTCATTTCGTCTCTCCGATTCCAGCGAGGAATAAGTTTGTTTTCAATTTTTTATATATCGTTTGTGCTTTGAAGTTTCTTTAGCGGTTGGATTGGTTTTACGGGGTAGGGTTGCTATTCCTACGCCCAACCTTCCCTCTTTACCCGGGCTTAGGACCGGCTAGTAACTAGTGAACTAGTTAACCAGGCGAGGTTAATTAACATTATAAATGAAATATATTTATAGATGCTCAACTTATTCAACTCTGTCAGCTTAGATTTTGATTCCAAAATGTATAATATAATAAACACTGATATGACTAAGCAATCCTGTTAGAAAAGTGCCAATTTTAATAAACCTCAAGTAACTAATAGTTTATTTCATTCTTCAATTATATTTCAATAAGTTTATGGAGTCACTGACGTTTTGTATTAACTCTGCTACTGGAACAAAGCCATTACAAGCGATTAAAACTCTTGAAGACTGATCATTCATATGATCTGCACTTATATATTTGAATGGTCAGATAACAAATTATAAATTTCAAGTAACACATTAAATTAAAATATTTACTATAGAAAAACTGAGTGACATATTTTTGTAGGCCAAATTTCATTTCTGAACAGTGAACGATACAACAATAAATAAGGTATTGAAGAAGACAGTGAAAGATATCAACATAGAATCTAGCAAAGAAACGCATCGCTTCAAGTTGCGACTAAATTAAATAAAAGAAGTATGTAAATCAGACAGTGGTAACAGTAACATATACATGTATTGCCGTGAAAGCTGTGTACGACCCATCCTTTTTGTACATCAAAACTTGATTCAACATCTAACTCAGTTTAGATGAAAATCATCTTTAAATGTGCATAGCTGATAAATACCGGGTTAACTTTATTTGAAAATACCTGAAAACAAAACAGTTGAGATCACTTTGTTTTTAGAAAGGAAATAATTCGCTGCATATAAAGGATGCCTGACAAACTGTTAACTGATTATATTGGTAACAAAAACTGGTAAAAGCATTAATTATTATTCAGTCAAAATTAAAACAAATGCTGGATAACAACGAATGAACTGAAGAGAATGTCGACACTCATTCATCTGACAGTTTCAAAAGAATAAGAGAGTGAGGTGAAAGCCATCTATGATTTCAATATTTGTAAGTAAGCACAATCAAAAATTTGACTAAATCTACCTAGAAATCCGATAATCTACATGCTGGAAGAGAATATGTGGTTTGTAGACCAAACTATTTACACCCAAGTAGATTAGGATTCAATCTGAAAACAACTTGAAAGAATACAATCGTCCCTTAACGAACCAAAAATAGTCCAACTGGAAGAATATATGAGGAAACGATGCATAAATCAAACTAGTCATCTCAATTTAGAATTCTAAACCAAGTGTTAATAACGCATTTCTCCAAAAAGTACAATGAAAGAACTTTACAGCTGTTACTGTTGACACCACTTGGTATATTTTTTCACTACATATTATGTGGTATTAAAACAAACAATTTCTTTAATTTCAGAGGTATATTGCATCATTTTTTGATAAGAACTGGTAGATATACCCAGTAATAAGAGAAAACAGTTTATAACTTGAGTTCAGAACGCTCTGGTAAAACCCTGTTCTGTCTTGAATGCTGCTCAATATGACGTTTATTTGCCTGTGTATGTGAACAAAATGACCGAACAGCAGCCAGACGAGGATTTCCAATTTGGCTACATACTGCTAGCAAACATATCAGCATAGTAGTCCATATAGGCAATACTGCAAACAGCAGATAACCCCTAGTGTCCTTGTCAATACTATGACCCTTACTCTTTGAATCATTACTACTGTTGGGAAGCCAATATCGATGATAAGATAAGCCATCCAGATAGTCCTCTAAGTATAAGCAAAGTACAATTTGTGCAACTAACTTCCATAGAATAAAGCTTAGTGTTAATGCTTGAGTGAATCTACTTCCAAGATCACGATGACCAATTATTCGAGTAAATCTAAAACAAGAAAATACGAAAGACAATGAATATATATATATATATATATATATATATATATATATATATATATATATATATGACAGAATGATAAAAATAAAAAGTTCCAAGTTGAACCAACGTCCTGAGTTCGATCCCTAATGGGGTCATGGGTGCACACCACTGAAGAGTCCCGTACTATGACGAAACGAATGTCCAGTGCTCCCAGGTTTTCAACGGTTCCTCAACTGATGTCATTTCCTGGTGAATACCAACTTGAAATCAATCAAATAAATCCCTAAAAAACTCCAATGATTCCATGATCAACTCCTCAAGTGACAATGACATACCTTCCAGACATGTGAAGTATACTTGTAGTAAGTAAAATGAAATCCAAACACCACATTGGTAGAAATATGATAAACCAATTCCAGTCAATAATTTCACTGATTTTTAAAATCAATAAAAATAAAAATATGCAGCATATTGTCCACAAAAATATTGCTTTGTTAATAAGAATCATTTCCTGTAAATTAAAAAAAAAAAAGAAAATAGCAGACAGTTAGCACTACCAATTATCACAATAATGTTCCTCATTTCTGAGGATGTTAATATATTAGAAGTGCATCACACAACAAGATCAAAAGACAAAGTGCTAGAAATTAAAGTACTACATCCTAGTTCTGAATAAAATTGACTAAAAACTTCAACATTAATTGTTGTTTAAGTTAAAACTCATAGGTTACACGAATTTGTGAGCTAAATTGCATATATATTGCTTCGAATATTCAAAATTGCATATAAGTGCCATAGCCGTAACCATTGTTGATAGGTAGGTGTAGAAATAACAAACAACTTGTTAGTTTGACTTCAGTTTCGTATCCGTTTATGGCTTTGAATATTTCCTTATCCTTTGCATTCACTCCTTTTTTTTCATTACGTCACTGTTTGTTAACGCAGTTTCCTAGAACTGAGATACGTTTACTCAATCAACTCTTCAAAAAATAGGATATAGGTCATTTGAAGTTGATGGTCAAATACCATGCTCACCTATTTACTCAGGCTTGGATAGTGTCATGATAACATACAAATATAACCACAACATTAAACATTGAGAAAAATTAGTCTTCTGCAGCGAAGACTTCTACACAGTTGCCGACGCATTTTAATACCAGATAAAAAATATGCCGAAATCATAACTTCTTTCCTGAGTCTTGGAAAAATGTTTTGGCTTTATTGGTTTAGAAATAATAAACTGATGGACTAGTTTGTTTTGGCAAAGTCAACTGATGGTTAGGAAGAAAGACGTCAGAAGAAAACGCTTGCTGGCGCAACTTTTGTTTAAGTATGTGGGAATAAGTAACTAACATAAATAGGTAGGTAAAATTATAAGTGTTGAAGTAACTGCAGATATAAAGTGAAGAATAAAAAAGCCTTAAGCGGCACAATTTAGCAAGCGACTCCATCTTCAGCCCATCAACAAATATATTCACTATGTGGCAATAAAATCCATTACAATTTACAAACATTGATTTTTCAGTTTTCGAACTGATATCTGCAAACAAATCCACTAGCTGTATCTTAAATCAAGATCTAAGTGAGTTTGAGCCTCGAAAACTTACTATCCAAAAATATAACCAATTAATATCGAAATAAATTTCGAAAAAAGAACATGAGTAACCGGTTGGGTCTGAGGACTACTTTAGACTTGTTCCAAATATTTCCACAAAAAACATAATATTTGAGGGGACTTAGAGCTAATAGTGGAAATTGCCCACACAGACCTGTGTGGTATTGCACTGACGAACAAACAACCACGTATGAAGACGCCAAGGCTACAAAACAAACTATCCTCAGAAAAAGAACAACTTGGTGTTACCTCATAAATGTTCTTACTCTCAGTATACATGCAAAGTTTTTAAATTTTTATTTTGTAGTGCTGACAGCAGTTGTTTTTCAGATGCAAGCAAATAGGTACATCACTGTTACTCTAACATGGATGTAGAATTTAGCCATGGTGAACAACAGCTACATTGCATGTGTTCGTATAATTCATTATTCGAAATTTATTATCATTGTCATTATTATTTAGAGATTGTAATAGCAGAGGAGATAAGAAATCAAGCAAATCTAGCTGAAGATTGGAGATTTATGAGCAGGGTATACCATTAGTGTTATACGTATTTAACTTTTTCTTTCGTAAATGTCTTTGATGAGGCTGTCGAAATCTTGATGGTCCTTCAGAGTGCGGTAGAACTAGGTATTCTGTCCATTACTCACGTAAAAACTCAAGGAAAATGAACAAGGTACTTATACCTTTATGCTGCAAGACGAAGGGTTTCATTTCGGGGAATCCGATTTTAGTTAGTTGTTTCAGAAGCGTATAAGGAAAACTTCAAAATACTCAAAATAATGACCTCCAACCTATCACTATTGCAATGAACAGTTGACCGCTGTCGTAAATAAATTCCGTTAACATTATAGATATCTACCTCTCACAGGTCACTCCCGATACCCAATACACCAACCCTCTCTCCTAATTACTTACATTTGCATTTAAATAGTATTCTTTGGTAGACCATCTTTAAAATCCATGGACACCTTCATTATTGCTTAGGAAGGCGTACCGATCATCAGTAAATTTAGTCATGTGCAAAATATGCTTTTGCAATGGACTTCTTGCAGAACATAATGATATCACTAGAAAGGCTGAAGCGAAACGCTGAGTACACTGAAAAGATTTTGACCAGGAAAACGTTTGAAGGGAATGCAAGGAGTTGCAGCTACTAATATGCATTGCGGTACTACAGATAGAACTTGAGGTAAAGCTAAAGGAGGAGTAATTCACCAGTAAATTCAACTCGGTTATTTTACTCACTTTTCTTTGGTTCCGCGGAATTTACGAAGAGGTAAGTGATGTCGTTTAAAGGTGCTAAACATTGTTCAAATACTGTTTGATTGTGATTACGTCACTTTGTTGTCTCAGTTTACAAAAAGAAACAAGCAATGAATTCGTAGTTCAAGCTGTGAATAGAAAATAAAAAGTAAACTCAGAAAGCAATTAATAGGTATCACGTCAGTGGGGGCCACTGAAAGATTGAGGAGAACTAGAAGCCATAACATATGACTTTGAAAGCCTTGTAGAAAAAACAAAAAGTTCGGGTTCGACGACCTCAGAAATCATCACGGTGGTTCCTATAGTGTTGCCGAAAAACCGATGAGCTGCTGACGAAACAACTGAAATGGAAGAAACACCAAGTGGAACAACAGAACAAGGACTAGAGGAAATTAAAACATAGATACTTTAGTTCAAAAACCAACTCCTCTAAATATGTTTTTTACGTTTATGGAATCCTTTGCTGACACCTTACATGTGTATGAATAAAAATATGTACATTTCCAAGTGCATGTTGCCGATTATGTTCCATGGGGACAAGTGTGTTAGGTAGCTCCAAGATAAGGGTTAGAGAGGTTTCAATGGATATTTTACGTAAGGCTAGACTTAAGTCAAACTAAGCTTACTACAGGGTGAACTTTGAGATATTATAGAGCTAACGTTGAACTTAAGTAAAATGTTGCAAAACCGTAAGTTTACTCTAGGTGTTCACTATAGGACTGGCCCTAGATTGACCAAATGTTTAGCTGTCGCCATGTGGGGTGTTACACTTAAACAACCTAAGGAAATAGACAAGAATGACGAATAAATGTAGTGATATTCTAAAATTAAATCACAACAGACGATGGTATTTTTCAGGAATTGGGGATATCTGCGGATTAATTTTCATATTCACCAATTTAAGGATGTTTGCTATGCCACTAAAAATAAAAACTTCTCTAGTATTTCTAGATACTTCTTCGAATACTTAATCAATTTTTTTTCATGTGCCAGTGAAAACTGGCTGGTCGTATCACGCTCGTCTATTAATTCTGACGAACGGTTCCAGATAAAATACAGCCCTTATTATCAAGAAGAGTAGGCTAAGTAACCTGAACCAACTCCTGCAGCAAATACCTCTGTAGAGAAACAGTTTATCCTTAAGCGTATTTACAGAGACAGTTAGTATCACTCGCCCCAGTAATAAGTTCAAATCACAGACCAATATGTGAATCTGAGTTCAAGCACAGATTTCGGACCCATTTACGGCGTCTTCAACAGTCATCCCCATTAGAAGCGAACTTCACCCAGTTAACTAGTACACTAGTTACTAGCCAGTCAGTCCTAAGCCCGGGTAAAGAGGGAAGGTTGGGCATAGGGATAGCAACCCTACCCCGCAAAACCAATCTAACCACTAAACAAACTTCAAAGCACAAAGGAAATAAAAATGAAAAAAAATTTAACTTATTCCTCACTAGAATCAGAGAGACGAAATGACGCCAGTTGGTGGAAGCCTTCGGGAAGCCAATTACCCGATGTGTCGTCTCTCTTTCGATCAAAGCAAAAGTAAGCATGGGGACATGGAATGTCCGCACAATGTTTGAAGCTGGCTGCTAAGGCTGCTCACATTGCAAAAGAGATGAGAAGGTATAGCATGGAAGTGCTAGGAATTTGCGGAAGCAAATGGAATGGAAGTGGACTCTCCAAACTGTCAACTGCAGAGTCAATAATCTACTCCGATATTGTCACCCAGACGACAACCACAAGCGCACTGAGTTATGGAGTGGCTATCATTATGTCCCCAACAGCATCGAAGGCTCTCGTGTAGGGGGAACCAATCTCCGCCTGCAGGATCGTGACAGCAAGATTCATCTCAAAAGGAAGGAAAACCACAATCATACAATGCCACGCACATACAAATAATGCGGATCAAAAGAAGAAGGAGGACAACTACAATCAGTAGTCGACAAGACCCCAACTCAGATGGCAATATCAAAACTCCAATGGGTGCAGTGACATGAATGCCTTCCTTACTAGGAGCAGACAACACAGGAAGGGAAGCAATCATGGGCCGAGAAGCACTCGGTGAAATGATCAATGAGAATGGAGAACTGTTTGAAGACTTCTGCACCTTGAACGATTTGGTGATTGGAGTCAGACAGTGTGTACAAACACAAGGATATTCACAAGGTAGCGACATGGATTTGATTTCACCAGACACCACACCAGGACACACTACACTAAAAATCAGATCGACTTGATCTCAATGTGAGGAGAGTGGAGACGCAGCCTACTGGACACAAGATGAGATGAAGAAGGGGAGCAGATGTAGGTGGTTCACACCACTCACTTCACTATCTAGTGCAAGGAACCTACCTTCAAAATCAAGTTGAAAGCCTTCACTTCACAGAAGTTGGTGATACACCACAGTTCAAGTTCAAGTTTAACACCCAGAACAGAAGCTTAACTGAAGGACAAAACTAAAAAGAACATATTCACGTCAAACATCAGGAAAAAGTGGGAGACATTAGGCAATATTGACAAGTAAACCTGCATGGAAGAACACTGGAACTCTGTGAAAGCGACTAGGAAGGAAACCTGCGTAACCGTGTTAGGAAGGAAGAAGAAGCGGCAAGACAAGGAATGGA